CCCTGAGTGCACAAATTTCATGCACCAGGCCTCTAGTGTTTATATAAAGGCAAGACCTTTTGACCCACAAAAATGTTTAAAACAACAAATATGCAAATACATATAGAAAATTCACTACAGAGAATAATTTAATCTATACTAATAAAAGGGTAATATGCTTATTAGAACGGGTCGACCGGACATCTTTCAGTCATCCTGCCTTCCTTTCAGACAAAGCCACAGTGGCAGGGGCCAAGGCAGAGGCAGTTAGGGGTGAATAGGCCGTCAGGGGAAAGCAGTTAGGGGCAATAGGCCAGCAGGAGAGTCCAGTTAGGGGCAATCAGACCAGTGAGGAGGGCAGTTAGGGATGATCAGGCCGGTGACGTAGGGCAATTAGGGGCCCTATCTTCTAAGACAGACACAGCGAGTTATTTTTCTTCCCGGCTTCTACTTCAGATCTTCCCATTTCCAGGGACGCGTTCCCTCCAAGGCGATGGCAGCGCCCTCCCTCCCCACCAGGGGGCGCTGTAAGCGTGCTCTTTCCCAGCCTTGATCACCAGTAAGAGAAAACTTCATCTCCCAGAAGCCACGTCCTTTAGTTTCTACAGCAATTTTTCTAACGCTCTGTCTGGTCCCATTGCAGAGTATCCAAAAAATAAATGCTCCAGGTGTCACCCCTACACGTGGCCACTTATTCACCACGAAATTTCCTGCTATTTTGGTGAAGCAATTTATGGGTAGCCTGGTGAGGGATTGGGGTGGTGGCGCCGCCAATTTGCCCCCTGAGCCTTTATGCGCCTTCCCATGAAACACTTCCCTTGCTAACTTCAATGTTCAGGCACCTGAGTCCCAGGGAGACTTCAATCTCTGCGCCTCGCTTTCCTGTCTTAAATCAGTGATGACCTTCCCTATAAAGCTTTTGAGAGGATTAATGAGTAACTGGAGGTACCATGCCTAGAACAGTGCCTGTCCCACAGCAGGCGCTCCCTAAATGTTAGTTGTGCTCCTCCTGCCTCGGGCCTGGCTCTGGAACGCCCTCTTTGCCTGGAGCTCGCCCTGCTGGGAGGGAGTCCCCACCTGTCAGTAAAGCTGGGCTCCTAGGGGAGCCGAGGCTGGGGTGGCGGTGGGGGTAACGCCTTCGCTCGGATGCTCCGAGAGCCACGCCGCTGGCATCCGGGAGGCTCCTGGCGCCTCTGATCCCACTTGGGCCCCAAGAGGGGAAGGGGCTCAAGAGCCTGCAGACCTCCCGGGAGGCCGGTGCTCAGGAGCGGGGCACCTTCCCGATTCTGGGCAAGCGCGGGCCCGGCTTAGCGCCACCGCAAGACCCAGGCTCTTGTGGACTAAAATGACCGTTGTCATAGCTACCTCCCAGGAGTCCTTGCAACAAGGGATTAAAGATCTACTTAACGTGTCAAACTCTGGGGGTCAGGAGCAGGGGAGTTAGTCTGGCTCCGGCCTCAGGTGGCCAGCCCACGAGTCTGTGGGCGGCGGCCAGCACACTCTGCGCAGACCTCCGCCATCGGGCTTTGGTACTGGGCGATGTGTGAAGTCCCTTATGGCCGTGGGTTATGTGGGCACGGGGGAAGCATTTCCCTGCCACAGGAGTCCCAAGTGGGAGAAGGAATTTCCTTTTTTTTGCAAGTTTATATATTTAGATTTTG